GGCTGCTTGCAAAGCAGGGAAACGAGCCACTCGCCGAACTGATGGCCTCTGCTCTGACCCCGAGCTCACTCTGCTCTGTCCTGTGTGCCCTGGTTGTCCCGTCAGGCCAGGAGCCGAAGGAGCGGGAGCTGGAGCTGCACTCCCCCACTCAGGCGGATTTTTTTTCAGCTTCATGGCCAGGTTCTCAGAACTGCAGGTGACGTGTGGCCGGAGGGACGTCTGACCTTGCTCCCTGAGCTGGCTCTGCCGAGGACGGCCTGCGGGCTGCAGGGGCCTTGACCGCGCAGAGGCGGTCTCTGGGGCTGGAACCACAGGCTCCCTGCGGAGTGAGCAGCGCTGTCCCTGCAGGATGAGTGACATACAGACACTCATGACGGGCACCAAGGAGGCCAGGCAGCCGAGTGGCATTGCAACATTGCAGTGTCCCCAGCCCCAGTCAGGTTGGAATGAACCACATTCAACAGAACAGCCCTAGAGAAGGTAGAGTCAGAAACCCAGAGTCCCAGCCGAAGAGCGGCCACAGAGAGCCCTGGGCCTGGTCACTTAGGGACAGGGGGCGAGTGGGTCCTGAGTGGCCTCCCCAGGCCACCGCCAGGCTGCACACCCAAGGCTCCTGAGCAGTGGTGCCATCGCCCACCACCGCCCTGGCACGTGGCCTGGGTGAACGTGAGGTGGATAGTGCACTCCCGTCTGCCGAGTGGCCTGGAGGTGCCCCGGTCTCAGCGGCCTCTGCTCTGTTCCAGTGGCGGATGCTGACGCTGCGAGGTGACGACTCAGAGCACAAGTACAGCTCCAGCCCCCTGGAGTGGGTCACCCTGGACACCAACATCGCCTACTGGCTGCACCCCCAGACCAGTGTGAGTGCATAGCCAGCTGGCAGGCGAGGATAGGCTCATTCCCTGCAGCCTCCTGTCAGGTCCTGGCCTTCCCCCAGCCTCTCCTGACGGGCCCAGCACTTGGTCTTTGAATGCCTCGGTGCCCGGGAGTGCAGTCCTGGTGTGCTGCCTGTCGAGGAAACCACACTCTGTGGATGTGGGGTGCCTGGCTCACCGTTGCCTTGCTGAAGTGGTCTTTAAATGAGTCCCAGCAGCAGAGCTTTCCCGGGCTTCCACTCAGCCCCAGGAAAGCGTCACCAGGGCCAGCAGAGCTGGCACTCCATCAGGACCCAGGGAGCGTACGAGCGCTGAAGATGCTGCCCTTGCTCCTGCGCTCGGCGCTGGCTAGGTGGGCACTGGGCGCGGGGTCTGGAATTAAAGCAGGCGGGCAGTACGGCTCAGCCTGAGCACCACGCGGGTCTGAGCTGTCCTCCCGTGAGTAGCTCTGGCACCAAGGGCCTGGGCCCAGCACAAGCATCCCAGGATGGCCTCAGCACACCGCTGTGGCCACACCCACTGGGCTATGGTCCTGGCTGGCTGAGAGGCTGGGGCAGTTCGGCGGCCTGGTGGGATCTGTTGGGGCTTCCTGTCTCTTGTGCCCCTCTCCCTCTCATGTAAGAAATGGATGCAACTTTTTTAAAAAACTGAATCTCATCTACTCCCAGTTTTTAATTTACAAACTCAAGGACATTACCACTTTTCTAGAAAGGGCCTTACAGGAAACGGGTGTACCCAAAAGTAGTGAGGGCCAGAGGAGCCTAGGATGGCCTGTGGTCACCTGCCTCCCTGTCACATGGTCCTCTTCCCTCACCGTCTCTGCACTTGCAGGCTCAGATCCACCTGCTCGGGAACATCGTGATCTGGACCTCAGCCAGCCTGGCCCTGGCAGCCTACGCCCTGCTCTTCTGCTGGTACCTCCTCCGACGGCGGAGAAGGGCCTGTGACCTCCCTGAGGGTTAGTGCCACTGGCAGGAGCCTTGCTTTGTGTCTGCCTCCTGTTCTGATGGGGAATGTCGCATGTCAGGTGACAGCCAGGTTGACTGGGAACCTAGGCCATGGGGCACCCCCTTCATCTCTGTGATGAGGGAACTCAGTTTTGTCTCCCCAGAGACCAGACAGACATTGCAGCTAAGTTCTTGCACACGTGAGCAGCTTCTCTAGGGAAGCCAGCGGGCAGGCAGATGCGTGGGCAGCAGCGGCTGTGTACGACTGAGGGCAGCAGTGGGCCGAGCAGAGGTTCTCTGCAGTAGCCCAAACCACTCACACGGGCAGGCCGACTGCAGCGTGGTTCAGGCCTCTGGTCCCACATGGCTGACTGCAGTGAGTCCCCGAGCCAGTGGCTTGGTAGACACCCCGGGCAAGTGCGCGCGCGCACACGCTTC